TATCTTGTTGAAACATGCATCTGTAGATGTTCAAAGAGCCTCAATGAGCAGTCAGATACCATATTTGTATACGAATTGTAACGAACCTATTTATTTGAATGTTATTCCAAGTCGCAAAATTAGCGCTTGGTCCGATGCTATGCAATTGAATCCTCTCATGAGTAAGTTGTTACTTAAAATTATCATTATACTCATTTTTTTCAAGTGTTTTTAGTGATACCAGATCGTCTTCGAGATCAAAATCAATATGTCACTCAGAGTATTTGGCCTCAGATCGAAAACTCTTCATATCCTCACTATGATCATGCTGGCATGATAAATAATCAATATCCAATATATGAAAATTCATGGTATAATACCATGATATATCCTTATACATATCTTACCTATAAATGATGTTTTTATAGCAACATAGTAGCTATAATCTAGTACCTATTTCTTTCTTTTCCTTTGTTAAAATAAACTGCAGCAATCTTATTATGTCAGCCATCTTAAAGATGTGAATACGAATGAAGGGTGGGTCTGGGTATGGCTCTAGGTTTTGCCATGTTATCTACACCCACACCCACCCTCAATGCTGAATTTCGATTACTTCTTAGATAAGTCGTAAAAACATTTCTAGTATCCAATGTCAATTCAATGATTTGGATGTCGATTAGAGAAGCACACAACACTCACATCCTGAAGATATTCAGAAATTGATGGAGTAGATATAAATGTGAATATGAGTGAATCATTGTTGTAATATTCCATCTATAAATGATTTTTATTTCAAAGTAAAAATCGATCAAACGAAACACATGTAACTTAGGTTTTCTTCCATCGTACTTCAAAATACGACAGATGTTATCATTCTACAGATATATTTGTAGTCCTACAAATATGAATCATAAAGTGTGTCATTAAACTCATATCAATTCTCAGGAAAAAACCAAGTTTTTTATGACTAAATATCAACAGAATGAAAAACAAAAGAAATAGATATTTTACTATTAACCTGTAACGATTACAAAACAGTCATTTCGTGAAATAAATATTCCAACAAATGGATGAAATATCGAAAATGAACGAAACAATCTACAGATTTCGTTTTGGTATTACTGAGAAAACTATTCGAATTACACAACAACAACTTAATCATTTTCCTTATTTACTTGCTCTTATAAATCATAGAGATGATTTCTCAGTCAATAAGAACGACAATGGTGAATACATATTAGACTACCCTATTTGTTATGACTGGTTTATGGCGATCTTTCAATCGGTTATTAAACAACAGCCATCTGTTCTATTCACTGAATTAACACACGAAGCAGATGTGTTACGTGTACTTGAACTTTATGATTATCTATGTATTGAGCCATTACCACTTCCTCTTCTTAAAAACCAAAAACTTGTTTTGACAAATCTCATTGATATTGATGATGTGAACAAACATATTCAATGGCGTCCAGCGAATATTCGTGAAGCACGAAATATAGCTGCTCAATTTATCATTAGTCTTAGTAAAATGCTTACAACTTAAATGATTCAAACACAATAAATAGTATCTTCACATTACTCATGGATATTTTCTCACATCCAAATATTTTTCATTCAAGATTTCGTTATCACACATTGAAAATAATAAAAAAAGAATGTTTTTCATTATTTTCTCATAGTCAACAAAGACAACTGCCAACTAATGAGCAAATCATTCAACCTATTAAAATTGATTTTATTAGATATTTAAACAATGGGAATCAATATCTTACACCAAACTTCTACAATGCTTTTGCTTGGAAAGATATTTATGTGTCTTCAGATGAATTCAACTGCTCCTTGGACTTAAGTCCCGTCAAAACTCTTGATCGTTCAGATTTTGTGTTGAATTTACGGTATCTAAGTGATGATTTAGAACCACGATGCAATGATAAATCATTTGACGATTTTGTAATGTCCCTCCATAATCTCCAGAAAGAGCAAGAGCGAAAGAAAAAAGAAGCTCGATCAGGACGTTTTAATACATTACCGAAACGACCAAAAGTTGACAGATTAAAGCATCGATCTGAACCAAAAGCTGAAAAATATCGATAAGATATTTTTATGAAAATAAATTCTAGTGAATATCACCGAAGGTGTAAGTATGAATGTGAACGAGACTATGATTCTAAGATATTTTATCATATTTTTCAAAACAATAATAAATCATTGTTTTTTAAATTCTTTGCATATCATACAAAAGATGTTTATACTTTTGTATACGATAGATCCTAGAACTCTCTGAAGGTGTAGATGTGAGTCTGAGTGTGCATGATATTATTATCTATTACCCACACTCACGCCATTTGTCAATAAATGAAAAACAAACCTTGTCTCGCACATATGTTAAAGTAAAATTTATCTATAAATAAAGATAGTTAATATCAACAGCATACACCTTCGACAAACGTTGATTCTATATCAAAATTATATTTGAGATAGAATACTTTTCAAGGCGAGAAAAATATAAGATAAAGATGACGCCCACATCTTATATGAAAATACTTATACAATACAATACAATAAGTACAGAATGTTTAAATTTAATGTCATAATTGTTAATGTAAATCATTATCGTCGATATGTCGTACGAAGTCTTCGAATTGTTTGATCAAGAACAGTATTAAATTCCTTTTTGTACATTTTCGATGGTAATACAAATATAATAAATGTTATCATCGATGGTAAAAATGCAAATAAATAACTCGAAAGAAAAAGCCAAGAATGATATGGTGATTTCATACATCCACTTATAAATGATATTATTAAACGTGATAAAGCTAAAAATACTAAAGTACATAAAGCAATAAGATGAGATTTATGTTTTTTTAATTGTAATTGTAAATGTTCTTTAAATGTTAATCGTGGTTGAATAGTTAAACGTGAACGTGATATTGAAATAATAATATTTATTAATAATGGAAGAAGAAAATGAAAAAGTGTTATAAATGAATTAGAAATATGAATTGATGAAGAATATTGAACAACACACCATATACGTTGTTCATCTATATCAATATCATCAATTAAATGACGATGAATTGGATCATGAACATGTGTTAACATTATTAAAATAAAAATACATAAACTTATCCATTTAGCTATTCGTTTACTTTGAATTTTATTAAAATTTATTCCTTTATGTACTGTAATAACACGTTCAATTGAAACACATCCATAAAGATAATCATTAAATGTTAAACATACTTGAATAATCACATCTAATATTAAACAATTCACATATAATATTGATCGATTATTTAAAATAAACATTTGGGATAAAATTAATTGCCAAAATTTAATTATTAATATAATTAATATTAACATTGAATTCCATGAAGAAATAAATAAATAAAATCCACAACCAACATCTCGGGTTTTTTTCATATGAAATGTTAATATTGATAATATTCCACTTATTAAGCCGAAAATAAACATTAATGTTGTTATACCTATACTTATTTCAATTAATAATGGTTGATTTGATAATGATAAACTAAGATATAATCAAGTGATAAAAAAATCGTTTTGTTGAAAATTGACATTTAATTGCATAATAACAGTTGGACATGTTATATTATCTTGAAAAAATTGTTCATCATTTTGACAATTATATATTCTTGTTTGATTAAATAAAAAACAATTTGAAAAACGATCGAAATCACATATACACATATAAAATTCATCATAAAAACACATTAAATTTTTATATTGTCGACATATCATCGGATAATATTTAATACGATTATATAAAGGATACAATTGTAATGTTTTATTTAATAATTCATTTATATGAAAACATTTTTGATTTGATAACATTTTTGTTTTAATATTTTCAGATTGAATAAATCTTTCTCGTAATACAGCTAAATAATAATTTTGTTTCGAAATTTCAATAAGAATAATATGAAATGGTTGTGTTATAAAAAGTTTTATTGTATTTTGTCCATAGATAATTTTTTTTAATGTTGTTGTATGTTGATGTTTAGCATTTTGAAATGCTGTTATATAGTGTACAAATATCAATGATATTTTCTTTATTATTTCTTCATTAAATTCAATATCAATTTGATTTTTAGTATTTTCACATCGTATTCCATAAAATTCTTCTTGACATAAACATGTAAAATTATTTGTTAAATGAAAACGATTATCATTCGGTATACATAATCCATTATTTTCACATGATTGACAAAATGAATGTTTTAAATAACATTTTGAACCAAATTTATTTATTGGACAAATACATATAGATGATGTTATACATAATGAATCAGATGAACAAGAACAATTATGTTCCTTTTGACAATAAATACCCGAATAACCTTGATTACATTTACAAAAATATGACGAATTTTTATTAATATATGCAATACATGTTCCATGAATACCACAAGATAATGGACAAATTGTTGGTTGTTCATTAGATGAAAGAAATAATTGAGTAGCTATTCGATTAACAGGTAAAAATTGAAATGGTATAGATAAATGCCAACTTCCCCAATATGTTAAATCTGTTTTATTACAAATATCTATATGAATTGAATAATTTGATGAAGAATTTTTTGGTTGATCTGGATAAAGTAAATAAAGATTAAATTTTGTATTACAATCTCGTTTAGGTACATATGTTATTTGTTCATGATAAGACGAAATTTCTCTTTGTTGATCAATAATTGTAATAAGAATTTGAAATATAGATATTAAATATGTTGAAGAATGATAGATAAATTGTAATGTTAAACTTATACGTTGATTTTGCCATTGACATCGTGAACCAAAATAACTTGGTGGACAAAGACATTTTTTTGTTTTATTTGATTTATAGAAAATAACAATTCCTCGATTGCAATACCAATCTGTTCGACTGTAAATTGTTTCTTCAAGTGAAATATAATTATCATAAAAATTATTCGTTTGTTCAGGAGAAATAATATTCGATGTTATTGATGGAAAGTAACTTAATCGTGAAGTAATCAGAAATGGTCTTGAATTTTCACTTGAAGGATTTCCATCTAACATTCTGCATCTGTATTCATCGGATATCATGAAAACAGTAGCTATTTGTGTAATGAATCGTACGAAAAGTTGTATTAAACAAGTATCTTCTTCTGCTGATGGTAAAAACGATTGTTGTTATTGACAAATATGTTGTGAAGTAATACATTTTGTTTGATTCCATAAAAAATAATATGTATTATTTCTCATTGTTATATTATTAAAATAAATTTCACGAAAGGGTCGTGAATTTTGACAATCCAAATATGATTCCATTAAATTAACATTTCGTATGCAATAGTATTTATTTAAATATTCATTGTAACATTCATGTTCATTGAATGAACAGTTTTTTCTAGGACAATTAAGTTCATCATCACCATTGAGACAATGCCAGATATTATCACATCGAACATATGGATTATTACATGGCCACCAATCACAATGTGTTTCATCAATTTCACTTAAATTCTTCATCGATAAGAAATCATAAATACCATTACAAACAAGTCCAAATGGTATAAGTCCTTGAAAAGCATTACGTTCATCAGAAGTTAATTCATCTTCTCCGTCTAAACAATCAGTTTTTCTATTTTCAAGTGCAATTATTGATAAACATTTGTTTGGTTCTGATGGACAAATAAATCGTTTTGAATCATTTAATTGACAAGCAGAAAATGATTCATCTTCACCATAATAACAATCATTAGAACCGTCAGATAATCGATGTTTTGAAATACATTTTAAAGATTGTGAACAATAAAATAAAGATGGAGATGAACAAGATTTAGTTGTACCAATTGTTGAACAACGTTGAATAAGATTACGAAACATAACATCGATAAAATACCAATCGTCAAGTGTTTCATTTATTAGACTGATAGTTTTACAACAATGAAGTCCATTTTGTATTCCAATATCGACAGAACAATAAATCAATGCAGGACATCGACTTGAATTGAAACAAATAAAATCAGGTAGAAGATTTGTTTGAAATTCATTTATTGATCGATTAGTTAAATAAACAAATTGAAAGAATCGATATATTATTGGATATTCAGGTAGAATAACCCATTTGGATGAACAATGATCGATAAGTGATTCACAATGAGTATTACTCGCTGTTTCTGCACCAGAAATGATTTCATTAATGCGAAGCAAACAGTACAATGCTTGTCGACAATTCAAATCTGAAATATGATCCAACGAAGTAAATATACTTGACGACATCGGTATATCTCGAAGATTATGACATCTTTGCGAAAATTGAGGTATATCTAGCATCAGAAACTCACCATCACCGCATGAAAAACGCCATGGATATCGAATTGTACGTTCTTCACATCGAAATATCGGAGTTGTAACACAAGGATTTTGAACACCCTCGATTGCATATTGAAAATCTTTTTCGTCAGTACCATCAAGACAATCAGTACTATACATTCCATCACGCATAAACGTTAACGGAATACATTGTCCCCCATAATGACATCGATATTCATTATGAGAACATTCATTTGTTTCTAATAAATAACAAAATTCTTCATCTTCTCCATTTATACAATCATAATTACCATCACAGATTTCACACCAATCCAAACATAATGATGATAAACCACGATTACAACCAGTTAAAAATCGATAACATGTACCAATAATACTGGAGAATTTGTCTTCCGTTGTTAATCTACGATTATCAAAAATAGTTTCAATAATAGAATTAAATGAAAATGTTATATTAATATCAAATGTATATTCACACATAGAACCAAACCATGATGATGAACAATTATAGAATCGTTCATTGGAATATTTTCCATCTGTTTCATATTGTTCTGCAATATCTATCGGTACATACCAATCAAATAATTGTTTACTTGTTACACCTTGACGATATAATTCAGCAAAAGTAATAAGATTTTCAATGTTTTCATGTAATTCATTCGATAGTTTATCTTGCTCTTCATTTTCATCAAGTCGTCGACAATAAGGAATTATTTGATAATTAATAGTATAAGGAGCCTCTGTATCTATTAATTTATCTTTTAAATATGCATATAAACAATCGAATACACGATTTGATTCTTGTCGATTATTAGAATAATATAACGAATAACGAGCATCAACAAGCATAAACAATGCCAAAATGTTGAATAATTGTATAATTTTCATTATTATCTGCCCATGTAAAAAAAACAAGATTATAATAGTACCATTATAACTGATTTTTCTAATCTTTTTTTACATAAGTGAATTAGTAAAACTGTTAATTATTTTTTTTATTTCATTATTTGAGTCGGAGAAAGAAAAATCATTTATATAAAAATATAGTACAGATGCGTTTCTCAACGAAGAATATAGACGATAAATATATTTATACAAGTAATGCGCGCACGAAGACTCGCTCAGCTCTTTCCTGTAGAAATAGTATTCATAATAGAGCGAAAGACTTTCTTTAGAAGACTGTTCCTTATCTACAAAATGGTTCTCAAAAGACAATTTATGTTTGCAACACTCTTCTCTACGAGATAGAGAATAATATATTTGAGCAAATTCTGATGAAATATTTTCAACATATGTTTTAAATAATAACGACAAATATCATTAGTGTGCTGCTAATGGAATTTTTTTCTCAAACATTATATAATAAATATTATTGTTTTTATAGTTTTTTTTTTGTATTTCCTGACTTTATGAAATGTGTTAAAATCATAAAAGATAAACGAATCAAGTAAATATTCAAACTTGTTTTATACTAAGGGGAAAAGTCATGTCTTTTTTCTTTTGTAAAATTATTATTAGAATCAACGTAAAAAGTATAATAAAATATTGTAATTAATAAAAAAAATCTGTTTGAGAGTATGAGTGTGCCTGTGAACAAACTTAATAATATTTCAAGATCATATTCTTTGTTAAAAAAATATTTCTGTATATTATTCATTTTAAACCTTCACCAGGGAAGGGGACGGTTAGCTGACCATGCCCATATCTTCTTTTAAAATAAATATCATATATTTTCTTTTATTTATGTAATACTGAAAACAATCTAAGTTATTTTCTATAGATTTTGTTTAAATACAATATGTATTATTTGGATTAAAGAAAAAACAAAGTTTTCCATTGTATTAATTCATAATCTAGAATTAATCATACAATCGAAAGAATATATAGTAAAACATTTCTTATGTAAATATCTTCGAGATTTTCAAACAAAATATTTATTTTGAGATATGTTTTATATTATATTCTAATAATAGACAAAACTCAAGTTTAGAATGGATAAACATGTTTATTAAGAAAAACTTTTTTTCTCTTTATACTTCTGTTCGAAAATGAAGAAGAATTTATTTCAATACAACTAATACCAATATAATCTCCTTAAATATTCTCAAATGTCACTTGAATTTTATTCAACTCAAGGTAAAATAATACTTAGACTAAAATAGAACTTTAATATCTGTTCTTATATCATATTAAATGAATTCTTTAACATAAGATAGAATTTATTTAAAATTCTATTTTTATTTTCTATTAAATATCAAATAACAAGAATTGCTTTTCATTAATATTTTAGTCTTTTGAGTATTATCTATATAACTTTTTAGTTTTCTTTTTTGAATGTTTCAACTGAATAATTATTTTAATTTAACAAATTTTTACATAAAAAATATCATCGACATAATAATTATTCTCGATGTGAATGAATATTAGAAATATTATTTACTAAAATATGCGAGAATCAATAACTACATATCACTCTTTTAATAAAAAAAACTTGACTCAGAAATTTTTCAAACTAATGATACCATTCAAATCCTCACTCTCGAAAACCTCTGACCTTTAATCTGTAATAAAAAAAAGATAAACATAATAAGTCATTTGAATTTTTTCATATCACTTTTCGTACAATCGAATAAACTATACATGCTGATATATATATATAAAATAAAAAAACATTTTCAGACATTTATTTTCTGTGAATATGCTGAGAGGTAACACTTTTTCGAGATATTTTCTTTCGATTAGAGGAAATATCATTCGAATATAGGGGTAGAATTTTTGATGATACAGATTTGAAAAACAAAAATTAAGATAAAACTATTGAGTTTTAAGTGAAATATATGTAAAACAAAACTGTGCAAATATTTTCGGATACCCGTTATAAATGAGACAGATGATTCAGAAGAATACTCCTAATATTTTAAAATTGACCTCTTTCTATGAATATACTCTTCGACATCATTTCCAGTTAAGTATTCACAAAAGCCTAAATAAAATACTTCAATTTGAAATTGAGCTCGAGTTTAGTCGATGCATTTTCATGAAAACAAAATATTTCGTCATGGTTTTACAATTCATTAGAAAGCTATCACGTTCGAATCAGAACCTTATGATTAAAACTCTTTGAATATAAATTTTCAATTTCTAATCTATTCAATGAAAGACATTAATAAATAGGATAGAAGAAAAAAAAAAGGCAACCTAATCATATCAGATGTAGAAATATTAGAAAAATATGATTAAGAAAACATTTTAACAATATTCAATAATTATACCAATTTCTCTTTCTTTTTGAATTCTCATAATAAGTTATTCTTTACAAATATGTTGTGATTGTTATCGTACAAAATTACATTATTTACTAGCAATACAATTCCATGTGTTCTACAACGATGAAAATGCGACGCAGTTACGCGTAGTTAATATAGCAAAACTCAGTTTTTTATACTAAGATATTATTGATGGCCTGAACACAGCATTGTCTGTATATTACAACTAATTAGAAATCTAAAACATGTTTATAAATAAATAACTATGCATATAAAATGTTTATATGCATAGTTAACATAAATGGAACATGAGTGATTTAAATGTTTAATATATGTTTACACTTTGTTGAAGTAGAAAATGAAATCAGTAAAAATTATAATAGCTATTAGAATAAGTGTAAAGAACAAACACTTCTGTATATAAAATGTTTTTATACTCTAATATGTCTAATGCAATTCACATCGTTATATCTTTTACAAGAAGAATTTATATAAAAAAAAGAAAATGAGCATTATACTTCTCTTTTCACATATTTTCAAGTCTTTTTTATCGCATCAAGTTCATACGATACATTTCTAAGTTTTATAAATTGATACAAATGTGAGAGAAATTTTTCTAATTGATTCATTCTATAACATGTTCTCGACAATAAAAATTATTTTTCTTATTTCTCACATAATATTATCGATGACAACGCCTGTTACTGTATACAAAAATGCCGTTTTTGATCCAATTGATACACATTATTTGTTGAGTAATCTCTCGTCAATCAGTTCGGCTGACGAATGCCTCTGTCAATGCTATAATAGTATGATCTGTGTCACGGCTAATTACTTCGATGCTACTCATGAATGTATACTTTTCTTTGCACAGTTAAATCAAGGACAATTACGATTGGCATCGAATACTGTTAACACAACTGTTTACTCTTTTGGAAACAATAGTAACAAAAGTGAGTAAAAAATATATTTTATATAATTCAATTGATTCATAACAGATATTTTTTAACAGTGCGCAAGTAATTGTATAGGTTTTCATACAGCATAAGTGAAGCATAATGAGAGGATTATTCTCTTCTTAGACTTTTCATTTCTGTTTTTCGATCACTGGTTTATTCGTTTTCATTCTTCAGTTAAATAATTTTTTTTCTAATTTATATTATATCTATAAAAAAATTCAATTTGTTTTTGATCAAACTAGATGTGACATATTTCAAACAAACGAATGAGAATGTGTACGACATATGGAATACAACTGCTGGTAGTGATAGTATATATGCAGTATCTGGTTATTTCGTTGGTTCGTATTGGCCAGGGCAACCAGCACAAGCCGCATTTGATGGCAATTTAACTACAGTAGCTTGCAATTACGGAGCATGCAGTTACGGTTCTGCATCACAGACATGTGGAGAAAACACTGGTTTTTATCTGACAGTGAATAGTGGGCCAAAAGTTCTTACAGGATTCTATATGGGTTCAGCTTCGGAGTCATGGACTCGAGTGCGTGATCCAATAACAATTACTATTGAGGGCAGCAATTCAAATGGATTGGCTCTTACACTTGGCTCCAGCTGGACTTTGATGTATAATGGTTCTGCAGGGTTCGTGACGGATCCTGGACGATCAGCTTGGGGCACATTGCAGTTAATTCCATATCCTTCAATCGCATTTGCAAGCTATCGTCTACTTGTCACATCAAAAGAAGGTATTGAGAGTTGTGCATCATATAGTGAAATTCTGTTTTTTATGTATTAGTATCTATACAATTTATTATATCTCTTAATCCATTCAAAACGATCTAATTTTCCTGAAAAAACAACTTTAACACGTTCATATGTACTTATCCTCAATACATACAATAGTTGGTCTTTTCAACATATGAAAGCATTCATTTGTTCTTTTATGTCGTCTGTATCACTATATAGATGGTCGTTTTTCATATCGAAATAAATAATTATTCATATCTATTTTCATTTTTTATATGCATTACGCAGCCAGAACGAGATTTTCTTTCATGTGCATCAAAACAACTGAAGCTTTTAGCTAATTAACATATTATCTAAAGAAATCAATACTGAAAATGCGGCAAACTCACTGATTGATGTGATTTCTTTGAATAATGATTTGAGGGTGAATTTCAGTCCTAAAGACTTCAACATTTGCACACTCACACCCACTCACTTATAACTTTTAATTTTTCTCCTACTTTTTCATGGCAGTTACAAGTAAGTCCAATCTTATTCTTAATTTCTAATTAATATTTTGTTTTTCTACTTCTCTCTCGTACTTATAGGAAAGTCCTATCTCAGTTGAGAGTGGGTGTGGGCGTGGGTATATCTATCTTCCTTTAATTCACACTATTAAGTATCTTAACATGATATCTAAATTAAAGATACATATAAGGCTCTTGATCCTGTTTTGAGTATTCATAAAATATTATTTAATTAAATTCAAATATATTTTGATCATAGTGAAAGTCAGGTATTGATTTAATTAAGAGCAATATTAATACAGTCATTCGAAATAAATAACTTGTACGAAGAAGTTTCAGCTAAACATAAATTAACAATAAGTGTCGTTAGAACTGTACGACAGATTTTATCAAATATAATAAGAGAAGTATAATGATCAAAATTAGTATCGAAAAGAATAAACCATGATTCAATATTTTATTTAGTAATAAAATAACATTTTGTAATTAACAAGGATTTGTCTATCAGTATTATTTTATTCTTTGAGGGTAGAAGGAAAAAAAGTTCTGTTTCATGTAAAAACAGATAAATAGATGAAAAAAGAATAACTGAAATGTTGATCATCGGCATAAAACAAATTATACGCTAAAGAAATATTAAAATTACAAAATATTTCTACATTTATGATCGAACTAATTATGTTAGACACTGATTTATTTATTTATAAAATAATTAAAATCCACTAGGAAATGTCAGACATTACAAATCACACATCAAAATTCATATTTATAACTGTGTTTCGACGAACACAAAACTGATTTATGCCAATACTGGAACAACTGTTTCTGATCGTAAACTTAATTTTTTCATAATTAATTTTTTAAGTGGATCTGTAAATTGAAATAAAGCAATCATTACACATGCTAATGCAAAATCAATAAATATAAAAGCAATACGAAAATGATATTTCGGTGCTTGATTAAAAAATGACATAAACATAAATAATGCATATGGAAAATCAATTACAAATAATATTAATAAAAGTATTACAGTACGACGGAACATTTTTAATTCACGTTGTGCACGTGATATTGTATTAACAGATGTTGAACGTCGATTTATTTCATTAACATATCGAACTAATCTCCAATAAATCAATAAAGTTAAGACAATAGGAAGTATATAAACGGAAAATGCAACAAAATTAAGTTGAACTGAGAGTCTAAGTGGTATTTGACATATTTGATTGTCAACATTATAAGTTATATCACCAGTAAATATAAATGCAATAGGAAATATAAATGCATAAATCCATGATAGACCAATAAGATAAGCTTGATTTTGTAATCTTTGCCAAAATAAACGAGACGGGTACACGACAATAATATACCGATGAAGTGCTTGTAATAAAAATGAATAATTAAGTACAGCACAAGAAACATATGTTAAATAACCACCAACTATACAAAATGAATTTGGATATTGAATTTGTTTAAGATCATTATTTAATGCAGATAGAGTTATAACAAGTCTATCACTACCTAAAATAAATTGTGCTAAACATGAATTAGCAACAAGCATCATTGGAACTGTATGACATGTTCTATCAATTAAAATAATTAATAAAAATATTAAAACTGGTATTATAACAAATATAAGGCATATAATCATGAGAATATCTAATGGAATAAACCATGGTTCAATATTTATTGTAGATGAATTATTGTCATACATCATTTGTGAAAGAGAGAAATATCTTCTGATTTTTTTTTTGATAAAATGAGATTCGCTCTTTCTCACTAATCCGTAATGAGTTATTTTTGGTTTGAATATTAACTCAATATGTAATCCTTTTCAAAAGTTTTATCAACGGATGTCATTATATAGTTTCTAGCAGTAATTACAAATGAAAAAATATACGTCAATGCTTGTTTTTCTTCTAATACTAAAAATAGATAAATGAGACGACCTCCTATGAAGTAAAAAATTTCAATACATGAAAAGTAAGAGATATTTGAAAGTATATATAGATTTTTCAAAGGTCCACAATCGATGATTTCTCGCTTGGACGAAGAAATTTGATGATTGCAGGAATATTGATTGTATTCCATTCAATATTTGCATTGATTCTCTGGATCGATAGGTGAAATTGTCGACGTATCGTACCTGGATACAGTGACATTAATATTTAGAGAAATAATATGATAGAAATTGATTTTCTTTTACCTTTATCAATGATCGTATCAGCAAATGCTTTAAATTCATCACGCTGTCGAGTGGTGACAAAACGACTGGAGACTGCGTCGATGATTCTTTTTAAACCACTTCCTGATTTTCCCCATTTAGAAACAAGTTTCGGCCAGTTGTCACGAATCCAGTTCCACACTATTTGATTTGCTTGCGGTGAACGAGCGACTTTTGATATGGACGATATCAAGTTCTGATTACGAATGATCGATTCATTCTCGAGATGTTTATTTAGAAACCAAAGAATACGTGCAGGATCTTGTGTGCAAGAAAGTCCTTCAAGTAGATTCGATGCTTCACTCATAATGGATTCGTTTTGAAGACGAGTCCACAAAAAAGAGAATTCTGATCGTGAGCCTGTTCGAGCAACTGTACAGTAAACAATCAAGCGAAGGTCAGCCGGAATGGGATTCAGTGTAGGATTCATAGTCCAGTTTTGATAGAGACTACGTGCTGCATCAATGCAACTTTGGTGGCCGTAACGGCAGACAGTCGATAAAATATTTGGTTGTAGTAGAGCTGGAAGCCATTCAGTGGATTGATTAACAGGAATCCATCCAATTTGATCGTAGATCGGAAGAATCAATTCCAGAAAATATTGTTGTACATCAGCTAAAATATCGTGTTCACCAAGTAATAATTCTTGTTGATTCATTGCAGCAAGCGCTATTGTCCATGGGACCAATGCAGTTTCGTTCTTTAAATATCTAATCAATTCGTATGCGTCAGTTATATTAGCCAAGGCAGCGCGTGACAAAGCAAAGATATCATCGATAAGCGCTGCTCGACTAGCAGTTGGAATATGTGTATGGTTGCTCTGAAGTTGGTTTAGAATGAGACGAAAATTTTGTGAATCATACTTTGTACGATAGATACCAAGATAGTCGGGATTGGCTAGAATCCAATCTGAGTTCGATGTAGTAATTGACAACGTAGCTGATGTATTATTGAACCATAGAATCTCATTTACTTGATTCAAAGTTCTATCAAAGTATTTAAATGGAATCCACCATGGATTTCGCTCGATATTCGTCGCTGGAAGAAGGCTAAAAGGCTTTTGACTAATCATTATATAACTTCCGACTCCTTCCTGATCAGATGTGCTATAAATTCGATTAATTTCCACAACTGGATAGCCTGCTTGACGTGTCCATCCATGCATAACTTGTTCAATGTTAATTGTATTGTTTGCCGCTTCGTTCAAGTATCTCCATAAGTCCTTTTCTGTTGCTGAACTAAAATTCAACGCTGTTACATATAGCTGAAGGCCTTCTTGAAAGATTCGAGCACCTAAAATCATGGACATCATGCGAATCACTGCTGCTCCTTTGTAATAACTAATCGAATCATACAATGGAATGATATCTGTCAGGTTGGCTGATTCAATACTCAATGGTCGCGAAGTCGGTAACGAATCGGCTTCCATAAATTTGAAAATCATCTCCACAGGAACTTGCTCCTCTAGCATCAGAGAAGGTTGAACATAACTGGATGCCATTGTTTCCATGTAAGTAGCAAAACCTTCCTTCAGCCACCTATGCGACGAAAATAAAGTAATGAAAGAGAAAAGACAGTGACACTCACAGTTCATTCCACCAAGCGGGGGTCACTAAATTACCCAGCCATTGATGAGCTATTTCATGTACTACCAACGTTGTTATGTATTGTTTTATGGAGCTAGATACTATTTTTTCATCGAAAAATATGCCCAAATCATCATATATTAATAAGCCTAAAGAGAAAGAGATAAATTCAATTACCGATTTCGATTCTACTATTTTTACCATAGTTTTCCATTGCTTCTCCAGGAAAGTTGATAACATCAAAATGTTCGATTTTTGGTAAGGGATAGTCAATATTAAAGTATGTATTGAAGAATTCTAACGTTTTGTAGGCGACTTCGTCAGCATAGGTTAGTTGTGAAAGAATATTGGTGCGTCCACACACGCGTGATTTAGTATTTTTCGAACCTACAACACGATCGGGTAAACAGGCAAAATCGGCTGTTGGTGCCACGATAAGTGCCAAAAGAAATGTGGACATTTGTAGTGTTGGAGTAAAATATGAAATAATTCGTCCATCACTGAGTGTTTCCCTTCTTTCAATTTCTCCATTGGACCATGGAGTATATAAAGAATCGTGTACTACGCTCATTTTAAAAATAGCCTTACGCGCAGGCTCATCAATACATGGAAGTACACTTCGAGCACTAGTAGGTTCCATACCAGATGTCATAAACATGTTTTTATTCCCACTACTATCGATATAGTGGTTCATGTAAAACCCATATAATTCACGATTAATATCGCCGGCATAAAAAATTCGAAGTGTATAAGTAGTTCGTGCTATAAACATGGATGAAAAGTTGAATATCATAAACTGTGTATAATTATCATAGGACCACGATAGAAAAACAGGAAGCGAGTTGAAGGTTGCATTGACAATTCTTATACTTGAATTATCAATGCGCAAGTTTTCCATATGTAAAATCACTTGGTTAGTGTCCTTTAGACATATGAAGTTGTAAAGAAGATCACTTGTGAATGTTTCATTGGTCAGATTAGGTGTAATAGTCAAGTGGTAGGATAACTGTTGCAAATCGTCAGGTATGCGTGCGACTGATGAAGCAGTACTATTGGTGATTATTTCAAACTGACTATTATTCGTGGTTGATATTGTAGATACTTCATTGATGATATGATTTTGAACTTTTTGTTTAACACCAAAATAAATAGTTAATACTAGTAGCACAGTAAAAACAGCGGCAAACATGAATATGACAGACCAGAATAATTTCTTCGACACGTTATAGCTACTTGTACGTGCAAATTTGACATCCGGAGTGTCAAAAACAAGGTTTTGCATTTGTTGTTCCATAGAAATTTAAATAAAAACGATCAGAATGATTTTTTCTTTAGATTAATCATGTTGTTTATTCTAAAAAACTGATATATATATATATATATTCTTTATAGTGTATCGAATTGTATTGGTCTTTCACTTCAACTGCATTTGACCTTCATCTTTCGATCTTGTAATAAGTATCGAACGATAAAAAAAAGAGAGAGAATGACTATAGTTATTCGTTCTCTTGTGATACAGTATTCATATGATATTTACGAACGAACTAAACTGCAGAGATTCATTTAACATGTTTTATTTTTAGTCATTTTTTGTAACCCTACTCTACAATTAGCACTCAATTTTACTTATGATTTTTTTATAATAAATCGATCGATCTCATCAAATAAACCATTATTGTAACGATTTTTGATAGAAAGAGTGTTAGTGTTGGTATTATTATACTTTAGTATATTTTTTCTTACCTACAATCACATCGTTTTCATACAAAGTGTACACGTGTATACACATCGATCAGAGAGAACGAAAGAAAAGGGCAACAGGGACAGAATAAGATGAAGGCAAAGTATTACATGATTGACTATCGAAATGAACGAACCGAATGACTGTGAGGAAACAATTTATCGCATTGAAAAAGTACCTTTTTGTAATTGTGTTTATACTTTATGTATAGTAAAAAACAAAATTTACAACAATAGCGAGTAAAAATCATCGAAACGTATGATGAATATAGAAGGTTAAACTTTCGATTTGATATTTGATCGGTATATTGTAATACAATACTTGTTTTAACAAAATAGTCCGTGCTTAATACAAATCAACCCTCTTCTGTTTCAATTTCTACATATTCTTTTTATCGATTTGTGTTTTGACTATCATCTCAAATTACAAATGTCGAAAAACTGAATAATATTCATGAGAGATAAATGAGTATATATATTTATGTAGCAGATAGAGATATTAATAAAATTCACACCCTCAAAAACTTGAAATAACTTAAATTTTATTGTATTGGACAAGCTTGTATAGCTCTTACTTCAACATGAAAATCACAATTTGACCATTGTACAATAGTCATATTTGTCGGTTGTTCAACAGTTCTATCACAAATAAGTTTCATTCTCATATATCGAGTACGACCAAAACATGGATCACCATTATTTGTTGTCATAAAAACACCTGTTCCTGGTCCATCTGAATTTTCTGTGTAGGTTGCATTAAGATTGGGCGAAAACGTTGATTTACCATCTAGAAATGCCATTGTAGACCACATTTGAAAGGCACGATTATATTGACAACTCATTTCATACGGAACAATATGTCCATGACATGCTTCTGCTTTAACAATATCACAAAGAGTTAGAGCATAATCGTATTCATCATCACTTCCAAATAATGTAAATTTACTTAAACGATTCAAATCATATTTTCTAGAGCCAAATGTTTGACGACATGAATCCATCGTACATTTAACAGTATTCAAAACGGCAAATAATAATATTAAAGTGAAGAAAGAGAAACGCATTTGTTTTAGTCTGTAATAACGAAATGAAAACTAAGAACAATTTAAAGTCAATAAAGATAAGAATTACGTTTTCTTTTCTCAATTTTTTTTAGTTTTCTGAAACATTATCATATAAAAACACATTTTATCAAAATGAAAAGATAACAAAGAAAATGGTCTACTGTGACTACAATATAATCATGAAGATAATTTTATTCTATTCTGTTATATTGACAGTGTAAAAATCACTTCTTAGAGAACATTTATCTATGATGAGAGAGAAATCAATATGGCAACGGCAAATAATAACGTGTATGTCATTTTTTTTCTACTTTTGGAAGCATATTTTATATTTCACTTTACGATTTTTTTCAATCCAAGAAACTCGATACTACATTTGGCTGTGGATGTGGGAGTTTAAGTTGGCGAAGATGTTGTCGTAAGCGCGAATGTGGTTGAATGGATACGTAGATAAAGAAAAGAGCTGCCCACTCGCCCACACCCTCAAGATATGACAAGCTATTATTAAAGATTCTTTTTTTGTTGATCAATATTAATCTACACATTAATATAGTAAGTGATGAGAGAAAGAAAGTGCGACTCCCCTTTTGTAAAATTTTTATTTATTTTTTTATCAAAAATCAGTTTTCTATAAAAAAAAGAATACTAAACCAAATTAATTTTCCCCACATTTTTCTATGCTATTTTTGTGAATCTTCATACATTTCATTATCATTTTTTAAGTGAAAATATTTTGTTTCGATTGATAGTAATTTAAGAGATTTAATCAGCCTTAACATGAACTTGCTTTTGCATGCATGTATAATACAAAAGATTTATATGAAAAATATAAATCATTGTTTGAAACGTTTCACAACTATTAAGTTCATCGTTCTACATGATTTAGTTATTAAAATTTGAAAGTATGTGGGTGTTATATAAAGATAATATCCACACCCACACCCTGGTACAGTGCCGGGTTGTGGTACTAATGAACATGTTGAAGATATTAGTATTCGTAATCGTTTTGTTAATAGAATAAAAACGACAATAACAACTTTGATGAATAAGCATTGAACATAGATTATTTTACACTTCTATCTTTTACGAGAAAAATCACAATACAAGATTCCTGCAACATGCTAATGTTAACTATATTCGAGTAAGATAAATAATGAAATTAATTAGAGATTACGAATCTACTTTTTCGAACTCTATTTTTATTTTTCTTACAAAAGCTTTTTTGCGATGATTTGAACGAAAAAATCTAATATTTGAGTCATTTTGACAACATGAAAAAACTCTTGAGAAAAATGCAACTATTATTAAGTTCTATTGTTTATTTTTTAGATTATTTTATTAAAATATTTATTACGATAGAAAATGGGTGAAAATCAAACTTTAAACGTAATAAGTTTGATCGTTATTATGATTATGTTTTTTTATCTATTAAATATTCATTCAAGATCAGTTTTCACTTTACAATCCTGGAAGAAGAAGACTATATTTTATGATTCTAAAGAATGTCATATTATTTTACCTGAACGTAGTGGTCGACTTGGAAATCATTTATTTATGTTTGCATCAGCTTATGGCTTATCACTGAAATATTCATGTCATTTATACATAGATCGAAATATTATTGATAAACTTCAAAAATCATTCGAAATTAATTTAACAAATTTATTATCAAAATCACAATCAAAATAATTTTACTTCAATTAAAAAGATCTACAATCATTACTCAATCATATAGAACAAATAAGAGAGCAACTACATTTTAAACAATCAATTCTAGATCGAGTGAAGAATTTTCTCGAAAAAAATATCAATAATAATGTTTCCACTTCCGTAGGCATCCATATTCGACGAGGAGATTTCCTACGTGTTCGATGTGTTTCATCCAACAAGTATATATTCAATGCAATGTCACATTTTCTAATAAAATATCATTCAGTTATATTTATTATAGTATCCGATAATAAAACCTATTGTCGAAAAACATTTGGTGAGAAAAACAATGTATTAGTGACACCCGATTCATTCAATGCTGCTGATGATTTGGTTACGTTGACTCTATGTAAACATACTATTCTTACCGCAGGAACATTTGGATGGTGGGGAGCTTTTCTTTGACACAATAGATTAGGTGATGTATTAACTGATTCAAAATCGGGCCATACTTCTCTTGATGTTAATTGTCGGCAAGATGATTATTTTCCATCATGGTTTTCATTTTTAAACATTACGAATTAAATTATCAAAATATTCTACCAAAAAATAAATATGTTTTCATGTATTATGTTTTTTAGATGACATTTCAAATAACTTATTATCGACAATTATGCGTTTTTATACTAGTTAGCATTGGTATTGGTTTAGTCTTGTTTATTGATCAACTAAATTTCATTAAGTTTTCAATTAGCAGAGAGTGTGGATCTTTTACTGTTCTGAAGTGTAAACCGACACCCACACCCACCCTCGATACTACTATTGTGGTTGTATATTTTCCTTTGAAGAAGTCTAAACATACGTTAACTGAATACCAATCATGGCTTGAGAATCTACTCGGTTTCTCTCAGTCACCCATGATTATCTTCACATCTGTCAAGTATCATTCTATTCTAAATAGACTTCGTCAAAATGGGTCGTTACTAACGTTCTTCATACTCGATTATGAATCACCTCTTGAGATGCCACCAATAAAATCCTATCTTGATACCTTCGAACGACAGCATCAAGTTGATCCAGAATGTGCATTACATTCAGTTGATCTCTACGCTGTTTGGTGTGCCAAATCGTACGTGCTCAATAGAAGTGCAGAGTTAAATCCTTTTGGAACAAAGTATTTTCTTTATGTCGACGCTGGAGCTTTTCGTTCGGCTAACTATCGTTTTCGAGCATGGCCTCATCCCGCTACCATATCTACTGTGTTTAAGAATGATCGATTTTTTCTCGGTATGATTACTCCACTTCCTCGTCGATTCTGTACTTTCAATTATACAATGATGGATGGTCCGATCAAGATGGATCTTATTGAAGGTACTTTTATGGGTGGTTCGGCTAGCGCCATCAGATGGTGGACATCAGTCTACTATGCAACTATTAATGATTATCGTGCAAAGGACTTCTTCATTGGTAAAGATCAATACGTGATGAATTTCATAGCATTGGCCCATGCTGCTCGTTTCAATATGTTGCTTCCTTTTCGTGCCTCATGTGGTGATGTTTGGTTTACTTTTGGGCCGCTTCTTGCAGAGAAAGACGAAAGAAAGCAACTTTCATATTCTTCTTCTTGTCAACAGCAAAATATATCTGATTTTGTCATTCCTTTCGATACTGTTTGCAAGGATAGCAACAACATCGTATGATCTTACTAGGTCTGGGTGTGGGGTTTAGGTGAGGATGAAAATGAACGCTTACACCCACACCCCACCCTCAAGTCATAATTTAAATATTAAATAAATATATATTAATTAGGGCGACCATGATTTACTTTAAAACGTTCTTCGTGAACTAAATCAATAGCAAAAGAATATTTTAATGCATCCATTATAACAACTGATATTACCGTATAATTCATTGCAGTAATTGCAACAAAAGTAAATCATTTTAAGGGTGGGTATGTGATTGATACTTTAGAGGCATCCACACCCACACCCACCCTTAACTTTATTTAAATATTTGTTTCAGTTTATTTTACCGCCGTTGGAGAAATTCATTTTCCGTATGTTTATTATATTTTATAGATCATGCTTCACAAACTATCGATCCCAACACATATCCGAAACTGTTTGCTTTATATTTTTGCTGTTTTATTCACGTCAATTGGTATTTGTTTTCTTCGTCCTATGTGTCAAAAAGATGAACGAATTATATGCAATAAAGCAGGCGAAGTCACCACTTTTCAACCTTGCTTTCCGTCAACATTACTTGATTCCGCAATAGCCTGTCACAATAGTTATTCTTGTCAAAAACAATCAAAGACAAAAATAAATCTTTACGTCAAGTTGGTTGAATACCAAGGCTCGTGCATAATATTCCACCGCCACTGAAAGGAACCTGGCCTCATTGTATCAATCAGTTTACAAAATTAACATTCTGGAATATGACTGAATTCGATTCCATTATTTATTTATGTATTTGCTGCTGTGGCTGATAACTGGCACGGAAAACTTGATTATCATATTAACGCTGAAGTACTCGTTCTACATCCATCTATTGTTGTATTCAAAGAACTGCTACGAAAGAGTGGTTTTGAGGGAAACTATGCTCCAACAATGGCTAAGCAGGCGTTTTTAAATGCCTTTCTTCAGCTGCGATTTTTAGAATTACCGATCATCTATAATGTAAACATAGCTCTGTATTTGGCCTGCCCTGATTTATAGAAACGAATGCAGCCGGATTTTGAGATTGTTCACTATACACTCACTAAGTCGTTTCTTATGAAATCGGAGAGTAAAATAGAAGTTCGTCTGAAGCTCTACGGTGAAGCTATAGAAGAATACAAGAAAACTAGTGTGTTTGATCAAGTGAAACTAAGATTTCTTTTCTTTTTTAATTTTTTGCATCAAAATCGCAAGTATTCTACAGGGTGTAGGTGGAGGTGTCGTTTAGAGAGAAGAACCATACAACACCCACACCCACACCCATTTAATAATAAGAAGAAAACCATCGATTGATTATTATTAAATGCTGTTATTTTATTTAGATTATTTTATTAAAATATTCATTACAATAGAAAATGGATGGAAATAAAACTTTAATGGTAACAAGTTTGATTATTATTATGGTTATGTTTTTTTATATGCTAAATATTCACTCACATTCAGTGAATATTTTACAATTCTGGAAGAATAAACCTGTACTTAATTCTACTAAACAATGTACCATCATTTTACGTCATGGTCTTGGCCGGCTTGGAAATCTTTTATTTCAGTTTGCGTCAGCCTATGGTTTATCACTTACATATTCATGTCGATTGCATCTAGATCAACAACTTATTGATGAACTTCAAAAATCATTCGAAATTAATTTAACCAATTTATTACCAAAATCACAATTGAATAATTCTACTTTGACTAACAAAATATACAATCATTGCTCATATATTCCTATTCTTTTAAATTCAAACAACAGTTATTCGACTGAATTGTCAGGATATTGGCAAGTATATAGATATTTTATCGATCATATAGAACAAATAAAACAACAATTACGTTTTAAACAATCAATTCTCGATCAAGTCAATAATTTCTTCGATAAAAATATTAGTAAAAATGTTTCCACTTCCGTAGGCATCCATATTCGACGAGGAGATTTCTTAGGTGTTCGACGTGTTTCATCTGCCAAATATATATTCGATGCAATGTCTCATTTTCTAGTGAAGTATCATTCAGTTATATTTATTATAACATCAGATGACAAGCAATATTGTCGAAAAACATTTGGTGAGAAAAATAATGTATTAGTGACACCCGATTCATTCAGTGCTGCTGATGATTTGGCTACATTGACTCTATGTAATCATACTATTCTTACTGTAGGAACATTTGGATGGTGGGGAGGTTTTCTTTTACATAATAGATCAGGTGATGTATTAACTGATTCAAAACCGGATTATACTCCTCTTGATGTTGATTGTCGAAAAGATGATTTTTTCCCACCATGGTTTTCATTTTTAAACAATACAAATTAAATTGTTCAGAGCTTCTGTCAAAAAAATAAAGATGCTTTAATATATTATCTGTTTTAGATGAGATTTCAAATAACTTATTATCGACAATTATGCATTTTTATACTAGTCGTCATTGGTAACGGTGTAGTCTTGTTTACTGATTAATCGAATTTAATTAAGTTTTTACTTCGTGCATTCAATTATACAAGATATCCTTTATTGAAAAATATACAACAACTGTTATAATAGCATATTTTTCATTAAATAAATCTAAACATAGTAAAGTTCAATATCAATCATGACTTGAAAATCTATTAGGATTTCGTCAATCACCCATCACTGAGAATGCATCCTATTCCGCACCGGAATCGATTCCGTCCAATTCCGAGAACTCGATCGACACTCAACATAAGAGATCCAGTCGAGATTGGTCTTATCGTAGTTGGTAACTCGTTGGCATGGGAGTTTATTTATTTATTTTGATATAGTTTTTCTTTTTCAATCAAATCATTTAATTCATCAATGTTTTTATTTTCGAATGATTTTCTTTTATTGAAAATATTATTTTTAGTTGACATTATTTCCAGCTTTCAAAAATCTTGTTTTTCTTCATTTTATTTACTTTGTATTTTTTTATTTTTATTTCATTGAGGGTGTGGGTGACTATCTCTTCTTCATTCATAGTCAGATCCAAAGCAACACCCTTTTTACATTAAAAATAATGAAAATAAAGTAATAAGAAATGACTTGTCAAGCGTTGAATATTAGAAAATAATCGTGAAAATAATATGATGAAGAAGAGTTTTTGTTGGTTTATAAACAGAAACTGTTTAAATAAAATAAAGCTATCGATGAAAAATGTTTTGAAAAGGCTAAAATTTTCATTTCTATAAGTGATTCTATATTTTCCAAAAACAAATTTAATAGAAGTTTTTGATCTGATAGGAAATCAATTTCAAAACTATGAATAGTTAAATATCAGTCAAAGATTTTTCTTTTTTTTCTTTGGAATGATGATCACCGATTGACTATAATATGATTTGTATAGATGGTTATTACTGATCTTATTTTAATTTTTAATGAATACTATAACTTATGAGAAAAGAAATGTGTGGTGTGATACATTTATTCAAACGAATGAAAAAAATTTCATTTTAAGAATCATATTTGAACAAAATATGCAATCATTTAAATTATCTATTTTTCTATTTTTGAAGAAAAATTACGTTGTAAATTGATTTCAACTATTGACTGAAGGTGCAATGATAAGATCTGATACATGAAGATAAGTTCATCATAAAACGTGTAAGTATTATACTCAAAGTGTTTTACATGAGAAAACTGTAAGAAAAGAAAAGGATATTTATTGAAGTAATTGATAGTTGTGATTGTTGACACTTCTTGCTTTTTTTTATGACAAATAGGATAGACATAATTTGTTGCAAAATATTTCTATGATACTATACTTCTGTCGATTTTACCTATATTATGCAGAAAGATACCTCTGAAGAATCCGAGAATGCTTCCTATTCCCAAAAGTTACACATTCCGGAATTGCTGCACCCACCCAATTTAACATCATTCAATTCCGGAATTCCTTGCATACGATTCCTGCCTTTTCCGGAACAGATCGAATTCGATTTCTGCCAATTCCGGAATTCCTTCCATCAGATTAATGCTATTCCTGCCGATTCCGGAATTACGAAAGATATGCTTGATGTAGAAACGAACATGGTGAGCGACTTATTCCATTCCGTAGCGGAATTCCGGAATTCGTGCACAGTCCGGCTTTTCCGG